GGGGGTGGGGGTGGGGATGATGTCATCGTGTTTTTGGAGGGTTTGAGAGCGGGAGAAAAAGTGGGAGCAGAGGGCGCCGGCTTGGGCGGCGCCGAGAAGGGGGTCGCTTGCGCGCGAGCGGGGCCGCAGCGGCCGCAGCGTGTGCGGCCGCGCGGCGCCCCGGTATGGCAGATGGAGGCGGCAGCAAGACGGCTGAGGCCTGCCGTGCACAGCCGCTCAGAGCCGCGAGTGCGGCTACTCATTTATGCAAGCCCTTGATCTTGCTGGCCTGGCCTCACCGACGCACCTTGGGGGCCAGGTCAACGATGCAGCGGCGGTCAAAGGCGCCGCCGCCGCCGGCTTCCGCCGCATGCAGTGTTGCGCCGGACAGTGCGGCGGCCGGGCCCGGTATCCCGACGGGCACGAAGCGGCAGCCGGCTGGCAGGGGGTCGCTGGGGCCCGTTGGCGGCGGCGGGGCGGCCACGGCGCCGGCCGCGGGTGGGGCTTCCGTGCTGCTTCTACCGCTGCCGCTGCTGCTGCCGCTGCTGCTGCCGCTGCTGCTGCCGCTGCTGCTGGTGAGAATCAGCTCCTCGAAAGCCGGGCCAGGCAGGCTGGCCCACGCGCCGCCGTACCATTCAGAAGCATCCAGAAGGAGCACCGACTTGCCGGCCCGAGCCAGGGCGCTGCAGGCGGCGAGGCGTGGCATGGGGGTCGCGTTGGGGCGCCGCGTCGCTGCGGCCGGATGCAGACGACCGCATGCCATGCAGCGGCGGTTTCGCGCGTCACCTTGCGATCAGAACCTCAGGGAGGCCGGAGCTGACGACGACGGCGTCGAACGCGGAGGGCTCCACACGCACGTCGTCCATGCTTGTGCTGGGGCCCAGGCCCGGCCTGCAGCGGCGGTGTGGCACGCGTGGCGATGTGCGCCCCACGCCGCAGGTGGTAATCAACGCCCGGGGTTGATTACACTGCGGGTTTTAATCCAGAGATTATGGAACTCGACGTGATGATGGGTCAGCGCGGCGATCCCGTCGCAGACAAAGTGACAAGTGCGCCAGATCGCGCGAAACTAAGTAAAGGTTCGCTCATTTACTCACAGCACATTGAATCATTATCTGCAATGATAGATATTTGGGATACATACATCAACACGAGCTTTGGCATCCCTGCGCTCTCGGCAAGCACTGCACTGCTTCTTCACTTTGTCTTCCGGCGTTCCCCCTCAGGCTCTATTCAGAAGCTTAAAGACCTGCGTGTACTCTTTCCATTTCGGCAACAGCACGCTAGTAGCTCTCCTACTGGCCGAGCGGCGGACTCCCTCCCCGCCCCGCCGCCGCCGCAGCGCCGCGGCTGCATGCGCGCGCCACCCTCGGCGCCTGCGACGCGCCCCGCGCACCCCGCGCGCCCCTGCGGAGGCCCCGGACACGCCGCGGCCGGCGCGGCGCGGCGCGGCGCAGCGCGGGCCGGCATGGCGTCGCCCGCTAACTTCTACGCCGCCCTCATGAATTTGAGGGTCTCCGACGACGGCTCGACCGACAGCCCAACATACGCCGCGCGCGCCGGCGGCGCGGCGGCGGCGCGCGCGTCAAGGTGGGTTGTGAGACACGGTGACCTGCAGCCGAGCCGCTGCCCTGCTCCCAGACGGTGCCGGCAGCCCGGTGTGACTTGCGATGCGCCAGGTTGCCCTGCGGCACGCACAGCTGCCCCTCCCCTGTTATAATCTGTAATGGCTGCAGGTCTGCGGTAGTCCGCGATCCCTTTCGCTGACGCACGAACCGCACGCCACCCGCAGACCGGGCACACGGGCAGCGGCCGCCGCGGGCGCGGGCGCAGCGACGGCGACGGCGACGGCAGCCGAGGCGGCGGCCGGCAAAGCCGCAGACGGAGCGGCGGCTGAGGCGGGGCCGGGCGGAAGTGGCGGCGGCGCGGCCGACGGGGCGGGCTCTGTAGGGGAGGCGGCGGCGGCAGCAGCGGTTGCTAAGCGAAAGAAGCTGCCAAACCCTTTGGTCTGGATTGACCTGGAAATGACAGGTCAGCGGGATGGAAGCGGCCCGAGATATTCACTCGTGATGAGGGACGCCCATCTCAGGGGCAGTTTCGATCCAGGCTTTACACCACAAGGAGGGTAGGGGCAGCCCCACCGGACCGCCTGGCGCGGCTGGCAGCAGGGGGCAGGGCGGCAGACGATGACATCTCGCTCTAGCATAAAGCATCAGGTGAAACCTCAACACAAAGCCTACGACAAACCCCATCACAAAACCCAACCAATACCCTACCCCCAGGCCTGGATATTGAGAAGGACACTATAATTGAGATCGCCTGCCTCGTAACCGACGGCGACCTCAAGACGGTGGTGGAGGTGCGCCCTGGAATACCAAGGGGCACGCCGGCAGCATGCGAGGGGCGGCCCCGGGGACGCGTTGTTCAGGGGCGGCACGCGGGCGTGCCAGGCGTTTATTGGGTCGATGGGCGGCGGGGGCGCGCGGGGGCACACCGCGGCACGGCCGCGAAGCGGTGTCCCGCCGTGCCCGCCGACCCGCCTGCCCGCGCGACCGCACTCGCCGGCCTCTCTGCCCATGCGTTCCCCCTACCCCGTCGAGCAGACCAACCTTCTGAACCTCTGAAGGCGCCGGCCCTGCAAACCTCTCACACCTGCCGTCACCCGCCCCCCAGCCGCACCTGGCCGTCCACTCCCGCTCTCAACCGCTTCCAACCGCGCCGAACCGCCCGCAACCGCCTCCAACCGCCTGACCACCAACCCTAGGGCCCGAGCCTGGCCATCCACCACCCTGAGGCGGTGATAGAGTCCATGAATGACTGGTGCAAGGAGCACCACGGCAAGAGCGGCCTCACGCAGCGGGTGCGGGACTCGAGCACGTCACTACAAGAGGCCGAGGAGCAGGTGGGTGGGGCTGGGGTGTGGTCATGGAGGGGGGCCGACGATGCGCATGGCTGGTGTGGGTTTGAGCTGGGGCATATCTGGAAGGGGCGGAGGAGCAGGTGGGTGCGCCCCGGGGTCCGGGGACAGAACAGCGGCCCTGCCGCCTCCTAGCACGCCGTGGGCTCCTGCACTGCGCCCCGAGCTCGCCGCCGCCGTGGCCCCCAAGGACTGAAAATTGTATGGCTATCACATGGAATGCGCCCAGTGCCGCGCTGCCGCGCGCTGGGGTATTTCCAGTTATAGGCAGCTGGGCGTAACATCACGGTTTCGAACCCGAAATCAGGGCATACCTCAGCTAGGGGTGGTCCTGGCGGTTCTCGTCCTCGTCAGCGAAGCTCTCACGTTGGAACCCCCAGGGCTCCCTCTGCCGGGGCCACCTCCAACACACCTCTCGCCCACTCCGCCGGCCCCGCACGCCGCCCCGCCTGTTCCCTGCGCTGAACCCCTGCACGCACGCAGGTGCTGGCGTTTGTGGCGGCCCACACTGAATTCCAGTCGGCGCAGCTGGCGGGCAACAGCGTGCACGTCGACCGCATGTTTCTGCAGCGCCACATGCCGGCGCTGCTGGGGCACCTGCACTACCGCATAGTGGACGTCTCCTCGATCCACGAGGTTGCGAGGTGCGTGTGATCTTCGCGGCGACGAGGTTGTGCGTGATCTGGGCACGGCGCTTTGCGTTGACGTTGACGCGAGCGCCGTGCACGCGCGCGTGTTCGTGCGCAGTTGGTGGGTCGCAAAGCGTGTGGATGTGGGCGGGTTGGGGAAGGCGCATGGGTGTGCGGCGGCTGGTTGTGCGTGTGCGTGGTTTGGTGCAACGCGCCGCGAATGCGTGCGTGGGATCGCGCGTTTGTGCGGGGGCGCGGACGCATGCACGTATGCCCGCTACTTTGTCGTGCACACGCGCAGAGGCTGCGGCACTCATTGGGCACGCGTGGGTGGGTGCGGCTCTTGCAGCCGCCCAGGAACCTCGACAGCTCAGGCCCTCACATGTGGGCCTCCACCTTCACTTGACACTGGCACGCACGCACACGTGCACCTACGCACGCACGCACCCACGTGCGCGTGCACGCGCGCGCACACACACACACACACTCTCTCTCTCTCTCTCTCTCTCTCTCTCTCTCTCTCTGCACACACACACACACACACACTCTGCACACACACACACACACACACACACTCTGCACACACACACATACACACACTCTCTCTCTCTCTTTGTTTCTGACACACACACACACACACACACAAGCGCACGCATTCACACTCAGACAATTACCCCGGCCCCCCTCCTCAGGCGCTGGTCCCCCAAGCTGGCGCGCAGCACGCCCCGCAAGAAGGCGGCCCACACTGCCATGAGTGACATAAGGGAGAGCCTCGAGGAGCTGCGGTACTACAAGGACAAGCTTTTCAGGGGCGTCAAGTGACGCCGCAGGGGTGCCGCGGTGACGCCGGGTGATGCTGGGCGACGCTGGGTGATGCGGGGTGACGCTGGGCGACGCTGGGTGACGCTGGGTGACGGCGTCACCGGGCGTCTGGTGGCGCGTGTTCCCTGCGGCGGCGCCGTCCAAAGGCGCCCGAGCAGCGCTGTTGGGGGATGTCGAGCGGCGCGGCGCGGCGCTGTGCTGCGCGACGGCGCCACACGCGGAGGCTCGCGGGTCGCTGCGCCGCCTGCAAGCGGCTTTGTCTGTTGTGTGGCCCCAAGCTTCGAAGGAGCCGCCCATGCGGCAGGCCCACAATGCGCTTCGCCGCGCCCCTGTCTACCGGCCTGCAGTGCAGCGCGCCGCGCCCCGCCCCGCGCCGCGGCCCCTGCTGTGCGCGCCGCCCCCGGTTGCGCAGCCGCCGCAGCGCCGCGCTGAACGCGGGGCTTCTGCGCCGTAACACCTGCCCGCCGCGGGCACGCCGGCGGCACTGCGGCGTTCCCCCGAACTTGTAAGATGGCCACGCGATCTTTGACAATATTCTGCCTTCCTTTTTTCAATTTGCCCACCCCTTCTCCCCAGTCTTTTTGCCCAATTCGAGCGAGTCTGACCCAATCCTTGCTTGAGGTCTGCCAGTCAGCCCTCGCGCCTTCCACCCGCCCCCAAATATACTCACACCGCCCCAACCTGGCTGGCGGAAGGCTGCCTTGGCACCGCTCCGCCCAGCGGGCCCTGCACCCCCCGCCTAGGGCAACGCGTGCGCGTGTAACCGAAATGCCCCTCCCCCGAGCGACGAGCCGCACACGCGCTGCAAAGTTCGCGTTGCTTACTGCATTGAAACGCAAGAAGCGGCGGCGCCGAGGGCCATGGCGGCCCCGGCCCCGGCCGCGCGTGCGCACGGCGGAAAGGAAGCAAAGCAAAGGCGAGAAATAGAGAGATAGAGAGAGAGAGTGAGAAGCGGGCGCGGCGGGCGGGGGCCTCGCTTGTGCAGCGGCGCGCCCCTGCTGGGGCCACGCACGCCCCCTGCTCTTGGCAAGGCGAGACAGTCCAGGGCTTGCATTCAAGCCGCCGCGCCGGCTGGCGACCAACCCCCTTAAAACCCCCGGGCTGGGCTGCGGCAGCCCAAAGGGCGTGCGGGCGTGGGCGGGGGCGTGGCAAATCCCACGCGTGCGGACGGGCGCGGAAAGGGGTACGGGGGGCGGCTTTGGAGCAGCGGCAGTAGGGGATGGTTGTAGGGGGCAGGGTGTCGCTCCGGCGTTTGCAAGATGTGTGCACGCACGCGCGGCGCCCGCCGCCGCATATATGCTTGGTGTGGCGGCGATTGGAGGGAAGGGCGGTACGCAGGGCCGCCATGCCGCCCAATGTGCCATAGGCAGGGGCCCCGCAGGGCGCGCCGGGTTCGCCGGCGGGCGGGGTCGCCGGGGCGAGGAATCCTAACAATAAAATCCAAACGCATCGCATTGCATGCGTGCACCTGCTTGTGGCCCGCCATGGCGGGCGGCGCACCCGCGCCTTTAGGCGCGTGCGTATACGCACATACACAAGCCGCGGCGCAAACCGCGGCACGGGGGGCGCGGGCGCGCTCCCCCCGCACAAAAAACCTCGGCCGGGGGCCGCTGGCGCGGCCGCGTGGCCGGGAGCTTAGTTGGTCATCCACTGCGCCTGACGTATGGAGGGCTGGTGCCGCCAGCCTGCACCGCCGAAAGGGGGCCGCGGGCCGCCCCTGGCAAGCGCGCGGCGCGGGCGCGCGAGGGGCGGCGAAAAAGGGGACAGACGGCGGGGGTCCAAGCGGCGGGGGCGGGCGACACTTTGGCGCGCGTCTGGCGGCGCGGTCGATTTCTCAAGCCGCGAGTGTGCGCGGCGGTCGCGCCCGCCATGGTCGAGAGGCGCGCCCACCCCCTGCCCCCACCCTCTCAAACACACACACACACACACACACACACACACACACACACACACACACACACACACACACACACACGCGCGCACAGACAAGCAAAGGACCTCCTGGCTGGCACCATCCCCCGGTCAGCCGG